ATTAAAATGTAAATTAAAAATTTTTTAATTATGGGACTTAAATGTCCCGTCAGGCTTTTAGAGCACATTTGGACTTAACAAGTTTTTTCTTGTTTAATATTTCGAAAATAAAATAACTTTGTTTTATATAAAGATCTTTTATCATAGATATTTGCAAATTAAATGCATAATTATATATATTAAGTATTTGTTAACTTTTACTGTATAATAAGGTCAAAATATGAAAAAAAATTAAAATGCATGACAAAACTAAAATAAAATTTATTGGTTTAATAATTTATGATTAGTAAAGATGTAAAAAGCTATTTTTTTCCCATTTACACACAAGAAAACTTTACGTAATGTGCATTTTGTATATGGCTTTGATGTGTATCAATATCAAATGAAATTTTTTTTTATATAAAATTATCTATTTATATATATATAAGTCTTATATGTATATTAACTATAAAAATGTTAAACAAATTCATAAATTTATAAAGCACAATGTAGAAAATACAAATTTCTAACATTTACAAAAAAGATTCCCTCAGGCCTGACGGGACTTATAAGTCCCAAACATATTTTGACTTCATACAGCTTGCAAACCATTAATTCTACAAACATAATACATTAAAATCAAACTACACATATCTAGAATACATATTAAAAAATACAAAGACATTTAACTTGAAAACATTAAGTAGAATTTGGCAACAAAGAAAGCTACTACCATATAGTATCAGCTACTACCATTCAGACAACACACGATGTGAAACTTTTTTCAACAAAACTAAAACAGGAACAGTTTGAAAGTTACTACCCTATAGAAGAAAAAAGAACACTTTATACAATGATAAAATGTAAGTCCCAGAAAGCTATAATGCATACACTATGAAATAAAAAATATCAAAGATAGTGGGACTAGAAAGTCCCGTCAGGCCATAAAGGGTTAAAACGGTTCTCTTTATTTTACCTATTTAAACATAATTTATACATTTTGTTATACGCTACTTTAACATAACAGTTGTCATGTAGTTTCAACAGTCTAATCCAGTAAGAAATTATTGCTTTTATTATTAATACCGACATTTTAGAAACATCAAACCCCAATCACAATATATACTATAAAATACTATTATAGCAAAAGAGTCTTTGAAGATATAACAAAGCAAGAACAATTTCCATTTTATCGTGATAAGTAATTGCCCGTACAGGAGCTTATAAAGTAGTACAGAGTGAAAAAATTTTATAGAAATATGAGCAGAATTAATCTTAGCTTTTGAAAAAATAGGCCACATAAAACCCTGTGCCATTTTAGCGTTATGAATACCACAATTTTTAGCCTGTAAAAACTGTCCGGAAGACNCCCGTACAGGAGCTTATAAAGTAGTACAGAGTGAAAAAATTTTATAGAAATATGAGCAGAATTAATCTTAGCTTTTGAAAAAATAGGCCACATAAAACCCTGTGCCATTTTAGCGTTATGAATACCACAATTTTTAGCCTGTAAAAACTGTCCGGAAGACGAAAATAATAATACTACCAGGTATATGTAATTCGAAACGACTTATATAGGCTGATTATTAAAAAACCATCTCTCTTTGGGTGATAGTCTACCGCCACTTTTGTTTTTGAAACATTTATAGTTAATATAGTTAATTCATAGTCACTAACATTTATAAATAAAGAAAATATTTAATACAATCCACAAAAACTAAATACTTTTGTTTATTACTCGACATAATTGCCTTAAACATTGAGACATTTATCCCAGCGTGACACTAGTTTAAACGGTACTGTTGCTCGTCAAGTTGCTTGAACTATTCCAGAACGGTGTCTTCCAATTTCTCCTGATCTGCAAAGCGTTTTCCCGGAAAAAATTTCTTTAAAGATCCGAATAAATGAAAATCCGACGGGGAGCTAAATTTGGACTATACGAAGGATGTTGCAGGACCTCCCAATTTCGCTCTGCCAATTCCGCTCTGCCACAGTTTGGTGTGATTTGACGTGTGGAGTATAGTCCAGACGTCAAATCCGATGATCGGCCACGTCGAAAACCTGCTTATTACGAGTTGGCTTACCGCGAGCGTCGTTCGGAATCGTTTCGCGTTCGCAAACGAAAATGTTGGTAACTGTTAACGTGTTTGGGGAAGTTTGTTCCTCAGTGGCGCAATTGGTTAGCGCACGGTACTTATAAGCAGTACTTGTGAGTTATGCCGGGGTTGTGAGTTCGAACCTCACCTGGGGAACGTGACAAATTTTTTAAAATCGCCTTTTCCTATTCGTCGATTAGTTGGGCTGGTCGTCCGGCTTTCGCCTATACTTTTTGAGCTGTTCGGCCTTCATTATAGCGAGCAATCGTCGATTCGGTGTCACGCAATTCTTACCAATTCCAGCGACTTTAAGAAAGCGCGGAGGTTTTTGTGTGGGGGCCGAGGGGGAGAAATAAAAAACTCGACGAACGATAATATGTGATATATATCGTCATCGTCTCCCTTGCCGTTTGGATTGCCGAGCGGTAACAATCAACGGCCNTTAGGATAACTAAATCACTTTCTCTTACACACAATGAAGTTGTATAGTAAGGCAATAGACTATCGATACATCCACTTTATTAATTGCCAAGACACCCGTTTCGAGTATAAACCTCCTCTTCTGTTGGCTTGATATACGTATTATAATTTCTAATAACTATCTAAACTGACCAATATCGCTCGGAATAATTCGTCTTTAACATTTATTCTAAAAATTGAAATATAGACAAAGAATTACTTTATAATACATTGCACCCAAAATTACAGCAATGAATAAACTATGAAGATATATTCTGATAAGTACGTAATGTTTTGGCATTTATTCAAATTTGTTGAAATATTACAAAAACTAGAACGTAGCTTGTGAATGATCAACACATAAAAAAGAAAATGTAGTAAAATTATGCCGTAATCTACATTTGTCAAATTATAAAATTTTATGAACTTAATTTCCTCCAAAATGAAAAATGAAAATTTAAAGCAAATTTGGTATTAATCTTTCGAAGTTTTTCATCCAATAACCATACGTATTTCTAATTTTAAATTAGTTATATATTGATACAGTAATCACAAATTTCGAATTTTTTGAAACAATAAGAAATTTGAAAATCATACCACTCTTAAAAAATTCAAATGTCACGAACTTATTTCTTATTAAATACGATTAAAAATGTAATGTTTTATACACTAAATCCTATCAAACATTATTAATTTCTAAACATAAACCAATAATAACAATATACTGTATAGAGGAGAAGGTGGTATTATGGAACACTGCGGGTATTATGGAACCACCCCATTTCGAACTGATAATAAAGGCGAACTGTAGCGGAATGNGCAATATTTATATTTATTAAAATTTAAATACATACAGAATTTATTCATGTAAATACTGATAAAGAATAATATAAAATTTAACATACCTAGGTATTGATTGAAAAATAACCTTTCCTATTTCTAATTAATTCTGCATTTGTTCCAGGAGATGAAATTGGAATATGAGTACAATCTATAGCACCTATAACACCTGGAAACTTTGCAATATCATAAAATTTTTTAATGACTTTTTTATATTCCAGCATGGTCGATGGAAATGCGATGTACTTTTTTGAAAGGCTCCCCAAAGCTTTAGATACAGTTTTAATTATCCTACATATACTTGATTTCGATGTTGAAGTCAGATCTCCCACTTCGTGATAAAAGTTTCCAGTGGCATAAAAACGTAAAGTGATCAACAACTGCATTAGAGGTGATATAGGATGGTTTCTTCTTGTATTATATGATGGCAAGAGGTGCTTGATTTCGTCACATACAAGTATAACAGTTCTTTTAGAAAGCCTATACCTTTCGATAAACAGTTGATCGTCAAGCTTTTCAATAGGATTGGATCGATCACAAACTAATCGTCGTGGAATTCGAAAGTAATTTTGTATTATTTCGTTTTCATACACATACTCTGCAAAGTAAGACACATCTTCCGCCATGTTTGCCGAGATTAGTACACTAATCGCCCGAATTTGGTGGATTAGTTACTAATGCCAGATTACGTCTAATCTTAGAATGGTGGAACGCAAAATCAGTAATCCTGTATTAGTGATAGTTGTTAATCCCGCGATTTGCCTAATCGTCTGTTGGTGAAATAGGGGGTTAGCTTTTACAAATACGTGTGCCGGGCTGTGAACGGCTCATGCATTTGTAAAATTTAAGTGACTCGTACAACATGGAATTTATATAAAACGGAATTATCAACAGTGTTATAGGGGGGTCGACTGTATCTAAATAAATAAATACAGTATAAGCCTAATTCATTGTAATGTAGCGAAACGTCGTTAAATAAATATTGATTATTAAAAGAAAAGTTATATTATTTTCATTAATGCTTAATAAATTTGTTTCCTTGAAAAACTTTTTAATCGATTTCTACTGTAAGTAGAATTGAATTACTCCTTCTATTCACTCCGATTCGATATAAGCCGACATTTCCATATCATAGCTGCAAAACCGCTTTAATTTTATGAATGAATTAAATAGCGGCCGGATGGCCGAGCGGTCAAGGTGGCAGCCTACCGCTCTGGGGAACCTGGGTTCGAATCCGAACGGGTCGAAAAATCTCCAGGAATTTTTCGGGGGGTGATCCGTTCGAATATCACCTCTCCACCCGGAAGCCCCATTGTGGGCCTGGCCGAACCCATAATGGGATTGCAAAAAGGGGCCCTCTTAATGCCCACAGGGCGGAAAGAGTGAAAAAAAAAGAATGATTTAAATAAATTTCACAATACTTCTGCATTGCTATCATAAAAATGTTTTGAAATGATTTTGACAACTATTTATTTATTTACTATTATTTTATCGAAAATATAAAGAAGTATATTATATACTTTGCCGATAAACACTAATAAAATATTAAATTTTGATATACATTTTATTAAAAACGTTTTACTAATTAAATAACGCATAATTTCGACGACAGAGGGCGATGTCGCCTATACCTTTTAAAAAGTAGGGAGGTGTTTATAAAATTGTGGCGCGTGATGATTGCTAGTGATTTTGTCTGAAAAGATTTGTCTCATATATTTTAAGAACGACTCGAAAATTATTAATTATGGGTGCTAAATCTTTTGTCGCGTTAACTGTTCTAATTGCCGGCATGGGTATTGCAATTGTGTATCTTTCACCACACGTTGCTTATGTTCAAGTAGTGAAAAAATTCCTCGAACAATATTCCACTTTCGATTATTTTCGGTCTTCGAGTGAATCTCAATCTATATCGAGTGGAGAAAGAATATTTACTGTGGAAGAACTGAGTAAATACGATGGAAGTGGAAGCAGCCCAGGACTATATTTAGCCATACTTGGAAAGGTATTTGATGTGGAAAAAGGAGCTCAACACTACAGACCTGGAGGAGGCTATTCATTTTTTGCAGGTGAGTAAATAGGTGAGAACATATTATTCTTGGCATCTATTATGTATTTAAATTTCATAAGTTATATGTATATAATTTAGAATTTAATTATTTTAAGTTTTTTTTTTTTAAAATATAGATTGAAAACATTATAAATTTATGGTAGGTCGTGATGCCACTAGAGCTTACGTAACTGGAGATTTCTCAGATCAAGGTCTGGTTGATAATATCGATGGATTGGAAAGTTCTGCGTTACTAGGAATAGATGACTGGTTACATTTTTATGAAGAAGAATATATATATGTTGGTGAGTTTCGATGAAAAGTTGATTTTCTTATTTGCATATTTTACTTCTGACTTTTGAATTCAGTCATAACACATATCTATAATAGAAGTCTTTTTTTATGCTTTCACTTTTTAGTTATTTATTTACAGTATGTGGATATATGTGTCGTCATATAAAAATGCTTGTTTGAACTAAGAAATGTATTGAGATATGTAATTTCAATTATTTGTTATTAGTTATGTATGAATCAAAAATAACTCTGAAGTATTTGTGCCAAATGTGGATTTAGACCATCTGTAACTTATAAAAATAGAAATTTTGGCATTGGAAATTGCTTATCTCCCATTACATGCTATAAATGTAAAATTGCAATCATTTAAAGTTGTGTGTCATTGAAAATATTAATAAAACCTGTAAATACAAAATTACAAATTTATATTAATAGTTACTAATTTTAAGTTTACCTAATTTATTTGGTATCTTATTTGGTTTTGAAATCATAATTAGCCTTTTATCCTTCAACACTAGATATAATACTGAAAGCATAAATGCTTGTCATTGCATAATGAGTGAAACAAAGTAATTTTGAATGGGTTGGTTGATTACAAAATATTTATAGTTGAAGCATTGAAATCTTTATTTTCCATATAAATTATATCCTAATGATGCATTAAAACCTTAATTTGCTTAAAAATTATTATTTAAAAGAAAATTTCACAAAAGTGAAACATCATTTTACTTTTGGCTATTTATGTTTTCTATGATTTTTAAAATTAAAATTGTTATTGTTCATTTAATAATTTAGAGAGATAAGACTGATTGATTGATTCTTTTTGATTTATTGGCTACATAGACAAGACTTCTTAACAATTATGTTTTTAATCTTATAAAATATTTGAATATAGTTTAAATCATAATATTGTAAACATTATACAGTATTACAATTTCATTTTGAATGGAATAACTTGATAATACTTTTGATACCAATGAAATTTTGATTTTCTGTTATGTAAAAGAATTGAACTATATTTAATAGAATGGAATAGAATTTAGAAATGGAACATACTTAAATAAATGGACTATTAAAAATTAATATTTATTTAAGAGAAACTCTTTATACTTGAAAATTTAATAAAGTTTAAATACAGGTATACCTCGCCTTACGTCGATAATTGGTTCCAGGAGAACGACTTAAGTCGAAAAACGACGTAAGTCGAATTTACTTGTCTCCGAATCTACTTGTCATTAGGCTAAACCATAAATTACCAATTCCGGTTCTGTATTTTATTTATTAATGCATTTTTAATAATATATGGTTAATAAGAATCTATTTTAAGCTTACAAACAAATAAATTTTAGTTTTTAATATAGTACAGAAAAAAGTAATCTAAATTTACAAATGCATGTACAGTAAATACAGTATATACTTGTAAATGTATATATTTTAATATGATTTTATGTGCTTTAAACATTTTTCTAGTGATATTACGACTTCAATATTTGTGGTGGACAGACGTAAAGTTGAATAAAATGACTTAAACTTGATTTTTATTTTTCCATATACTTTTTTGACAAACCACGTATAATCGGGAACGACATAACTCGAAACGACGTAAGTCGAGGTATACCTGTAGTTTTACAATTTCAATAAGATTTTAAAATTCTTAATTTTTCAATTTATTCATTTCTGTATTTTCTTTTATTCTGTCAGACAAGAGGAAAAAAATTTTACATAAAAGCTTTAAATAAACTAAACTTTTACAAAAACTGTTTGACATTTAACACAGTGTATTTTTATTATAATTATTAGCCTTGTCTATAGGTTTCATAATACTACATAAATAATTCCAGTAATACTTGAAGGATTAGAGTTAATGAGAAATTGTTTTTATATCATTTTAAATGTAGCTTATTTGAATTCATTTTAGGATCCTGATTTTATATTAATATTAACTAAGCTGTTTGAAAGGATGTAAACAAAATTTTAATTCTTTACAGTAAATTTCTGCTCATATGATCTAATTTGGTTTCTGAAATACATAATTAAGTAAGTTGTATTTTTTGTTAAACTCAGTATTATATTTTTACAATATCATCTCACAAATCAATATGAGATTATGTTCCTGGAAATAATATATAATATGAAATAGAAATTGCCAACTAAAAAATCAGTTTAACTTCATATCAAAATCACTTAAGTTCAAAGAAATGTTAATGCATTTCCAATATTTGTTGTTCAAAAATTTCCAATTTAAGAAAATGTGTGAGACATAGACCTAATTAGTTCATTTTTTGGTCTGTTATAATAAATCTGTTTTCTTTTATGCATTACATCAAATTGATATAATGCAAATCTCAATACACAATATAGAGTACAGCATATCTGTTGATTGAAAAAATTTTGCTGTTGCTACATTACAACCAAAAAAATGTTTTGAAGCAATTGATTTTGTCTTGTTTATATTGATTTGATCTCTTGTTAATATTTTCAAAAAACTAAAATATAAGCTAGATAGACTCAATATCCTATTATCCAATTATAAAATTTCTTGCTTGACAAATTTGCATATTTTTTATCACAATAGATCTTATCTAAAGTTTTACAGAATATAGAGTGTCATTTAAAAAAGTATTCTAAAGTTTTCCTCTATAATGTACCACTGGAATCAAATAAGTTATTGTTCTTCACTGACAACAGTTGTTAATAGCATCATTCCACATGTTAAAGAATATAAGTCTTTCTTTTTTCCAACGTGTCATTGCAAAATGCCATGGTGTAAATGTCAGTAACTCAAAAGTAGCCATTAGATAGCCAATATTTCTTTTTAAATTAATATTGGCTAACTGCAAATAGAAATTATCACTATCAGTGTAGTTAATACATATATGAATTTGCACAAATGATACCTTTACAAAAATTTTACTAGTTTGTGAGTTTTTGCAAACGCAAACATTCTCGGGGTGTCAGGTGCGGCTGTAACAATGTTGGTCATTCCCAGTCGTTTCTAGTGAAACAACTGGGAATGAAACACCAAAAATTTTAAGGCCAGAACACCAAAAATATTACTATTTAAACTGGATCATTAACATGCTGTAAAACACTTCATTTTTGGTTACTTCTCACCTTCTCAGCCCATGTTAAGTTGAGTTAGCAGGACTTGATTAACTATACAGTGGTGCCTCGTACAACGTACTTAATCCGTTCCAGGTGCATGTCTGTTAAGTGAAACGTCCATTATACGAAACGCATTTTCCCATAGAAGTACATGTTAAAACATATAATTCGTTCTGCAGCATAAAATAACCGTACTGTACCATAAAAAATGAAAATGGAGCAGACACCAATTATGCCAGGTAGTCAGATGTTGTGAAGAGGAGGTGGAAGAACACTTTCTTTACACATTCATACAGATACAAACTTTTTACACATTGCAGTGTGTTTTTTTTTTTATTGTTTTTTAATTGGAGTCAGATTCAGGAGAGGCTACCGGAACTTGCAGGGTCAACTTCTCTTGTTCCATCCTTTGTTTTTTGGCAGCTGGCTTCTTGAAAAACATGACCAAGGTGGTCTGTTTCTCTTTCTTCTTTAACACCTGTCGGAAATGACGGACAAAGGTGTCATCGTAGAGATCATTGATTTTGTTGGCCTCAGCTCTGTTTGGATAATGAGTGTTGGTAAACTCCTGAACCTCTCCCCATTCGACAAGAAAGTTTTTGTCAACTTTCACTCCTGATGATTTCTTGCTTTGTTTCAATTGAAATCACTTTTCTGTTTTTTTTTTTAAAAGCCATGATGCATTATAAATGACTTAACTTGCCAGATTATATGATACGAATAATTCTTTATTAATTAAGATCAATAAACACTTCTATGAGCTACTCTCACTCCATTTGTTTTTTACAACCTCTTTTCGTCCCGCCACCTCGGCATCTACACAATTACATTTCGTTTATTTGAATCGTCAACATATATTACATTACATTTAATGTTTATTTAAATCATCAACATATATTACATTACATTTCTATTTCAGATATACTAATAATACATTCTAATAATACTAATATATCCTAAAAATAGCAGATTGTCATTGGCAATGGCAAAAGAGTGGATACATCATTCGCACTTTTTCGAAGAAAGTCCATTGTTCGTCTCACGTAACTGCCGAACGGAAAGTCTGTTGTTCGCAGCAAGTCCGTTGCTCGAGTCACGTAACGGTCAAACAGAAAGTCCGTTATTTGCAGCGTCCGTTATTCGAGGCGTACGTTATACAAGGCACCACTGTATATTAATAAATTGCAATAAATTTTATTAAAAAGTTCTTTCTGTTTATACTGTAGATTTGTAGTTTAATTTTCTTACAAATGCAATGATAAAATAGTAATATATTCACAAAATTAATAATTTAGTCATATATTTGTTCTGTTTGAAATATCTGACATTTGTTTTTTCTTACTCATTAGGTTTTTACAATTAATAAAGATTTCTTACTTCATGTGTGTTAAATAAAGGATGATTAAGATACTTTAATAAACAAGATTTTACATAGGTGTGTGTGTGTGTGTATGAAATTGAATATTTACCTTAAGAGTAACTTTTTAATGAAAAAATTAAATATCAAATTTTACATTCACTGTTATATATTGTGATAATAAATTGTGATCATAAAATCATATCACATTGTGATAATAAAACCATTAGTGTCTGTATGTGTGTGTTATCATTTTAATGGGTACTTATGTATATACTATATATATGCAATGAGATAGAATAAAATTTGTATTAATGCATGAAAAAATGAAAAACACTTTTATAAAAATAAATAGATGTGCTGTTAAAATAAAAAGATAAAAAAATGCATGATTTCATGTAGGAAGTCTTTTATATAGATTGTTTTTCCAGCCTTGCTGCCTTGAATTTGTATTGTTATATTAGCTGTTTCCTGAAAGCATTTAAATAGAATAGTAAAAAGAAATTGTCATTGGGAACAGTTACTATATATATTTTTTTTTATAAAAAAAAATTAATATTTCCAATTAGAAATTAATTTAAAAACAATAAATAAAATTTGCAATATGCATTGAATTCTCAAAATTGAAAATTTGAAACTTTATTCACATATCAAATGTTTTTGTATCAAGCTGTAGATTCTTCAGATGAAATGAAAAACCTTTGCATTGAAAGAATGTTTTTCCATTTTTCAATTGACTTAAATTCTCCTGATAACATTTCATCTGATGAAATTATTTCATGGTAAAAGCTTTTTATTTGAAACAATGTAATGTAAATATTTTGTTGGTTTGTAATTACATTACATATGTTTATATCTGAATTTTTTTTTATAAATATAATAAATTATTTATGCTAATTCACTGATAATAATAACATTGTATATATATATATTTTAATAAAAAGTAAAATACATCTGGATACGAGTCCAATTTTGCTTGCCATGTCCAATCACCAGGAACAACTACTTCCATTGCAGAGATGCCAGCCCTTTTCTACAAAGAAATATTATATTTTTAATTGTGTTGGGATTGTCACCTGTGGACATTTTAAACTGTTTTGCATATTTGTGCAGAGGCATAGCCTCTAAAGAAAGGTTGTCTCTGCAATGGAAATAGTTGTTCCTGGTGATTGGACGTTGCAATCAAATTTGGACTTGTATCCAGATGTATTTTACTTTTAATTAAATTGTAATTCTGCCAGCCCTTTTCTAAACAAAGAAATTATACATATATAATGTTAACTCCTTTAATAAATTTTAAAATATGATTTTGAATTGTTTGACAGGGGAAAGTATTCAGAAAAATGTGACTCTCCATGATTTGTATAATATGAAATTTCTTATTTTCATTTTTCAAAATTAAAGAAAAAAGTCAATTACGTGGTTGTTTCAGTTTATTGTCTAGAAATCATCTGTGTCCACCATGCAATTTTGCAAACCACAGTTCTATCACCTTAAAATAAAATTTAAGGTGATAGAACTTTGATTTGAAAAAGCGGAGTAGTATAATTAAAATTTTTGATTTTAAAATCAAATTTTATGTGAAATGTATCTTTATCCCAATGCATTCTATAAAAATTATTTCATTATTTTTTACATATAGTTTGTACATAAAACACAATACATTATTGTTTACAAATGTCATTTTTCGTTATAAAAATGTAATGAATTATTAATTATTTAGATTATCAACAATTATTTTGCAAAATTAAAACTTAGTTTTCTGCTAAATGTTTTTTCAGGTAAATTGATTGGAAGATATTATGATAAAAATGGAAATCCAACTGAGGAATATAAATCTGCAAGACAAGCTATTGAACAAGCTAAACAGGATAAAGTAAATTCAGACAAAGAAAAGAAACTATTTCCACCTTGTAATTCTGAATGGAGTAGAGAGAAGGGTACAAGAGTTTGGTGTACAAATAAAAGGTATTTTGCTGTTCTGTTTGCTAAAACTTTATATTCAAGATAAAGTTAAATAAACAAACATTTAATAAATTATTTATTTTTTTATTTCTAGTGGAGGTGTTGAGAGAGATTGGGTTGGGGTTCCAAGAAAGCTTTTTAAACCTGGTCAGCAGGAGAGATGTGCTTGTGTAAAAGATTCAGGTTCTCCTTCCGGAAGTTCAAAAAATATTGATAATAGAGGAGACTTAGATAATCCCAACTTGAAAGAATATGCAAATTGCGCTCCAGATTCAACTTCTTGTTCATGGAAAGATTGAACCACATAACGGGTAATTTAATTAACACAAATTGCTGTGATCTGTGATATTTTGGTTACAGTTAAATATTTAAGAAAGTTTAAACTAGGCTTTTACAGTCACAATAAACAAGTCTTATGAATCTCAAGATTATAAACACTTCTAGATGATTTATTATAAATAGGTCACATTGCTTGAATAACAATTTTCTGAAATGTTTATTTTGAATTAATATAACAATAAATAACTTATTATATAAATACATCATTTTAATGATGAAAAAATCAGGTTTAAAATTTTAAATTAAACTTGTTATAACTGTATTGTTTCTTTTGATAATTTGATTTTAATATTAAATGTTTTTTTAAATATTTAATACATGTAAAATGAATTTATAGAATTTTTAAAATAATAATTTTATTTAGAGGCTTTGTTAATAATGTTTTGTATTGACATTGATTACATAATAAAAGTTAAATATTTGATTACCTATTTGGCTATTTTTTCCAAATGTGCCAATTTTTTGTTATAAAAACAAATTTTGTCAGTTGTAAAGATCAAAAAAAGTTTCTGTACATAGAATTTCTTATCAAAAATATTTGTCAATATAACATTTAAAACATTCAAAAATTCTTTTTTACATTACTCAATGTTAAGCTTATGTTTTAAAAACTGTAATGTTTAACTAATTTTACATGAATTTAAAAAAATTAAACAATTTAACCAATATGTGTAGTCTTCAACCAATATCCGGCGTGAAAATTCCAAACTAATATTGGCAAACGCTTTCGATGCCCCTCCTGGACTCTTCTTCAGGCCAAATTTAATGTACTGGATTCTAGAATCCTGTACATTAAATTTGGATATTGGTTGAAGACTACACATATTTGTTGTATATGACCCGGTGTGGGAGAAATCCTTGATCAATTTAACCAAATTACAACTTTGTAAATTTAACTTGAATCAAATAATTCAGAGTTTAAATTTAAATTATAAAAGAAACTTTAAATAGATAAATTCTTTAATCTAAAATTCCATTCTGTAAACATATTTTGAAAATATTCAAAAATACCTAATTTTAATTTGAAGTCTAAATAAAACTTCAAAATTAATATTTTTTTAACAGTATATAATTTAAACTTATATTAAATTATCAAATTTGATCAATTATATTTTAATAATCAGTTTGAGGAAATTGAATAAGGTGTTATAAGATAAAATTTTTAATTTATCATTATAAACATTTTAAACATTCAAAATTTGCTTGTTTCGTATGCACTATCAATCTATAAAATTTCTCAAACACAAAAGGATGTAGAGATGTGATTTGGAATTAATTCTTCACGTTTCTTTTTAAAGAATATATCAGTTATATTCATTATTCACTGTAAAATGAAAGATGGATGAGAATGATAATTATTGTACTTCCAAGAAAATGTTCTTAATTATTTTATTCATTCATATATCAAATATTTTTATGGTCTTTGAAAATTCATAATATACATTACAGTAGACCCCCCGTATAACGCGGAGATACGTTCCTCGTTATACGAATTTCGCGTTGTAGGAATCCTTAAATACATTAGCCAATCGCAGCCCGACATGTGTGAAGTTTACGGACTACGGCTTGAAAGGTTTCTTTCATAAAATTAATCGATTCTAGGCTAATTCGACTTAACATTTCCAAAATACGTATAATTTTTTGGGAATAATCCGTATAAACTATGCTATAAACAAAAAATTGTAGGATTACTTACCGAGTGTACACCGTTCGACGTCGCCATTGCTTAAGCTTGAGTTCGTCGCGGAGCAGCGCACCAAATGGCGGCCGCGATTTCTGATGTTATTTTTCTGCGAAAAATTAGTTGAACTTTGGAGACATCATTAATAGAAATAATTTTTATGGCCGTTGAATAAGAAATGTTTCTTTCACAAGTAATGTATAAAATTACAGTGCTGTATTAGACTTACGGTACTGTACCTAATTCACATACTGTACAGACGATAATAAACTCAAACTTACTCGCCTAAACTCTCCATAGCGTGGCGCTGGACGGCGGAAAGTAGTTCGGCTGCTCGTTCGCGATGACGTTTTACGCGTCCCTTTTAGCGTCTTTATACGAATACTGTCGCAATTTTTTCGCCTCGTTATAGGAATCTACGTTATAGGAACCCGCGTTATAGGGGGTCTACTGTATTTTAAAGATGTGATTTTTAATAAATATTAGTCACTTTGTGACAAAATTCTAAATCCGATTTTTGTTGAATATTAGAATTTATATTTTTATACAATAAAATTTTGTTTGTATTATGTTTTGAAAGTGTAAGTGATGCAATGAATTTTTCACTTTTCAATAAAGATATAAATATTTATGTTCTCTTTTATTATTTTAAAGGAAAACATAAAATAAATTTGAATGTAATTGTCCATTTAATATTTAACTTTATTTAGAGTATTTTGGTCATAAAATTAATATTAAAGTGATGTAAAAAAATTCCATGAACATCATTGAAATATTTTGTAGATTTTATTTTTTAAAGTTCCTCATATTCGTACTGTTTTTAATGGGTGCTCTGATTTCTATAATTTTGCTAATAAAACAACCTTTCGTACAAACTTGCTATAATTTTATACATGAAAAGAACCGTATAATAAACTAATAAATTCATTTGGCCTGATGGCTGAGCTGTTCAAGGTATCAGCATAGTACTGTAAGGAATCGGATCAAATCAGGGAGAGTAATCCGAGAAATTATACTTTCCCGATTGTCACAGTATTTGCATCATAGGAAAAGTGTGGCAATTGGACAAAAAATGACCCCCCCACAAGTTTACATTTTTTTTACTTGGAACCTCGAAACGTTAGTTTATAAAATAAAGTTAGTTTCTTTCCTGTATGTATTAATGTTAGTGTTGGAGTACGATTTTGTTCACCCAATTTGAAGTGAACCCACTTTTAACTTTGCTAATATTTTTTGCCTGGAAAGTTTATGCAACTCGCTGGATTTTTAAATTCATGCTGTCGTATGGCTGAGAAGTAAAAGGTGTCAGTCTACTGATATGGGGACCAGGGAACGAATTTGGACGGGTTGAAAATTCCCAAAAAATTTTTCGAGGGACCTCCTAAATACGTCGCGTCTCGACCTTCGTCACCCGGTTGTGGTCCTGGTCCATCTTAATACAAAGTCATCTTACTGTAGGGCCCAAAAGGGAAAAAGAGTCAAAGAAAGAAAAAGAATCTTATGTAGTTGCTGTGCTGCCTGTAATGGAAGAAACTGGTCAGCTGTAATGATACTTTATTAAATAAAAGGAAAACCTATTTATTTTTTCGAAGGCAATATTTGTCAACGGAATATTAATAACATACTGTGCAACATATGTTTGTATCCCGCAAGGCATATATCCTGTGTAACGTTTGTATCCCGCAAGGCGACACGTTGGCGTGCAAAGGGATGCCTCCCGCAGTCTTTCTATGAGAAACTGGCCCAAACGTGAAGAAAACCCGAAAAACTCTACGTGACCAGCCCATTGACGAGGCGCGAACTCACGACCGGTGTTTAGTGGGTTTTATTCACACGGCCACTGGTGGGCTGATAAATATGTACAGAACCACCACATATGAGCTGTACGGAGTGATGAAAACGACTTTTATTTATGTGTATATCGATGGACGAGACAATAAAGCTGTCAGTCTACCGCTCGGGGAGCCTTAGCAATTTTTTATGTTGTATCCTGAATACCTTTGGCTTCTTCCTATACAACCGTGCTTTTTACAGATTCGGTAAAAGCATTCCAATCAGTAATTTTACAGTTATGGTCACCCTGGCGCCTTCAATATGAGTCTTATTGAAGCCATAATGGGCATGATGTAAAAGTCCTAGAGCGAAAAAACGTATCTTTTAAATAATCAAAAAAGTAGTGTTTTCTATATCAACGAAATTTATATCACGGAAGAGTAGCCTATTTGGAACTTGTCTTACATATTGTGTATTGTTTAAAAATTCCGTTAATCTATCAAAGTGTTTTTCAACCTTTTTGAATACGCGACCCCATTACAAGTTAAAAAATTCTGGCGACTCCCCTAGGGCCATATTAAAACTATATCAGTAATTTTAAAAACTATGTATTTAATTTTCTTTCTGTTGAGACAAATTATTGTTGATTAAAATGAAACTTTCGGAAGAATCGACAATAATATAACACACATAAAGTATGAAACGTCCTTTAATTATAACATTGGGCACAGGGAGCTGTTGACCTTTTTTTTTTGTTTTAGGATCAGAATTTTCAGCTTTTACTTTTCTACTTTTTATTTGTTTTTGCAAATCAGCTCAACACTTTTTCGGCTATCATCTTCTGGGGTAGGCCGTAATTCTCGCTGAAATTGTATTTTTTTTAACGTAGTGTAGGACCTACAAACGCTTGTCTTTCTCTTTTACCCGCGACCTCCCTGGGGGTCGCGACCTACAGGTTGAAAAACACTGATCTATCAGATGATATCACAATCGTACTTGAACTGAACAGATTTAATATTAATTCTTTTTACCTCTACGTCCTTAGGATACTTTGTTTTGACTTTTTTACTAAGATTTCCTGTATTTACTAATCGGAAACTACACTAGTATAATAAGTCCTATTAATGAACAAGGACCAAGTAGACAAGGATACAAACAGAAATTGTCAATAGACTTGACTTAAGTTTAGATATCGCTAATATTTTCAAGTAATGAAAATAAATATTTTTAAATGTAAAGTACTATGTATAAAAATTTGGGTGAAACTACTTTCTTTGGCCGTCTGAAGCTAAAGAAAGTAGGTGCCTCCATGACAGTCTAGTGCCAAAAGTGTATATGCTGTAAACGAATCGTTGTGTGCTGACTTAGCAATTACGTAAGAAATAACTACAATAAGTATTTATTTAGCGGGAATTGTCACATGAGCATAACAAGAATACCACCGAGTTGCTGTGTATAGCAACTCGATGGTATTTCTGTTATGCTCCTGTTATCCATGTAGTATGCCAGGATAGAAAACGAAGCACTAAGCCGAACGACTATAAAATTCACAGGCCTCGTGATCGAATTTGAAAACCGAATCCCTTATGGCAGTAAGAAATTCATCAGGCAATCAATTAGTTAATTAATAGCCATTACTAATAAAGCTATTATGATTAAATCATTTAATTTGACAATTAATAACACAATAAAACAAAAATAACAATTTAAATTACGAAACAATTACAATTATTAATTAGCTGAAGAAGTTAGTTGACTATTATATGCTTCTCTGGTCAATATGATGCT